AGACGGTATATTGAATCGGTTCAGGAATAAACACTTCATCCAGCAAATCCGGTTGGAAAGGCCTAAAACTCTTTGCTATGTAATTTTTACAATAATTAATTATTTTTGCATTTCACCTATTTTATTTTATTCAAATTAGTCACCAGTCATAGGAAACAACGAAAACTGATAATTAATGTGCCAAACAGCAAATACTGATAATTAGCATTTCCTAATTAGTTGGAAAATGGGAAGTATTGTTGTCCATATAATGAAAAGAAATTTGGATGATATCATTATTAAATATATTGTGACAAAAGTGACACAAATCATTGGAAGATGTGGGAATTAGGTTGACATTAATGACAATGGTTAATTTGAAATTGCATAAGTGAGTTAAATATATTTTAAAATGATTCCGAATGTATATATTAATATGTTTAAGCATAGACCTATTAATTCATTTCTTAAATTTATAATTTCCGAAATTTCAAAAGTTATGTTTAATTAGATGAGAGATGTAACAGAAATGTTTAGTGAGTGATGTGACACTCCAATGACAACCACTGAAACAATTGCTGATTGAAAAAGTTGTTTAAATTTTTGGATAATTCAAAAATTTTTGAATTTTTTGTGAAGCAATACAAACATGTCATATGTTTGTCGCATTTTTTTGTTCTGATAATATCATTGAATGAGTCAAAAGATAACATTTCATCTGCTGCAAGACACAAAAATGACATATATTATGAAGTAAAACGATTGATTAATTAATAGGCGGGAACTTGATCAATTTGACACCTGTAATAAGCAATTTCGGCTCGTTGGGGTCTTTGAATTGGTGGATCGAAGTATTCAGGAATTGAAGCTATGGTTATATCATCACAGTTTTGTTTGATGATTTGTTTCGTTTTTGGTTTTATCAAATTTTGCATTTCCATTGGTGATGGCACAAATTTCGATTTCTCTGAAAGCATTAAAACATATGTATTTAATTAAAATCACAATTTGAACATTGCAATTTCATTTATCATTCCCTTCTACAAGTAACTATTCATTTCCAATTAAGTAATATTGCGTTATATACTGTAAGAGTAACATTTTGACAGTATATAAACCTAAGATAAACAAAATGATTAAGTTTAAATGTAATGAATGTTATCCTAACTTATCTGTGAAATTTCACTACCAATTCTGGGGTAACATTATTTGTAGGATTGAAACTTTCTAGGATATTCATCAAAAGTATGACAGAGAAAATTTCTAGTGAAATATCAGTATTTATGAAGAAAAAATTGATTCTGAATGAACAAACATTAAATATGGTACTTTGCAAAAGGAGTACCATATTCAAATTTGTCATTTTATGGTTCATTTATGACGAAACGGTTTCGAAATTTAAAATCAATATTCAAATACGATGGCTTTCTCTGTTTTATTTAAATCCAATTTTTTTTTGGGTTTTGGTGGCAGTCTTTGTTACGGTATAACTTTTAAAATATTATCGAACTATTCCGGTTAAATGCATTCTAATGAAAAAAATTTTTTTTTACTCCAAATGTTTTTTTAAGATGCAAATTTCCGTTGATAATAATTAAATTAAAAGAATTTCGGAATTTGATCAATTCTGAAATTTGTTGCAATTTTGTTTTTCATAATAACATCCACTCCTAATTTAAATAAGTACTTAATAAGAAATGGATGTTACTTTTTGTCAAAATTTTATCAGTCCAACAGCTATCAATTGTGATAAACCTCTGATAGTGGGTCAAATAATTGCTGATGGCGGGTCAAATCTTCTGCTGCAAAGTTTTAAAATTGCAATCATATGGGGTGATAAGAAAACAAGTATTTCAGAACTTTTCATTCAATTTGTTTAATCTGAAGAATAATAGGACATTGCGATAGAGAAAAAAATTTTGAACTTTTTTGGAATTTCGTAAAACAAGATTTTTCTAATGAAAAAATTTAGTAAAAAAATTTTTACTAATTAAAGATTTTAAATCAATAAAGGGATTTTATCAATGCTAAAGATATGTTTATGTTATTGCATCAAAGGAAATTTTATTCGCACATTTTATTTTAAATTCTTCGAATCGAACTTTTTATTTTATAATTTAAATCTTAAGGAAAAGGAAAAAGAGAATTAAACTTTTTATGCAATGCTATCTTTCTTTTTAAGAAAAATAAATCATATATACAACAAATAACGTTTTTTAAGTAACATCTGCTAAAGTACCATTTTAAGAATAAAAAAAAAAGAAAACTTGAAGATATTACGGTACAATATGGTACTTTATCTTCTTTTTGTTAGAAAGTGCCATTTCAACATTTTAGAAATGGTACTTTCTATTCGTTGCATAAATAAAGTAAGAAGGAAAGCAAGCTGGCATGGCATGCAAAACAAGTTTCATCTTTTTCTTTGAAAAGATTCACACAAATTCTTCCTCAGAAATACAATTCTAATATTTCCAATTACTATTATTATTGTTATTATTATTATCATTATTATTGTCATTATTATTATTATTATTATTATTATTATTATTATTATTATTATTATTATTATTATTATTATTATTATTATTATTATTATTATTATTATTATTATTATTATTATTATTATTATTATATTATTA